ACACAGAAATCCCTTCCCAATGATTGGAATATTGGAATAATTTGCACCATACACAAAAAAGGGATATCTTTGAATGCTCTAACCACAGAGGAATTATGCTTTTAAATGCAGCGTATAAAATATTTTCCACAGTAGTATGGAAACAGGCTGGTTTCAGAGTTGGTAAATCGACAATTCATCAGTTTCATCAACTCTGAAACAAATTTTGGAAACAAAAAACAGGAATGTGGCCGCAGCCTACGACTCTGTGAATAGAAGAGAAATGTTCAAAGCAATAAAAGAACTAGGAATACCAAATCAGTTGATAAATTTAACAAAACTAACTCTTGCAAAGTTTAATGTAAAGTACGAATTCAGGGGGAACTGTCCGAACAAATAACTGACTGCGCCAGGTAGACCCCCTCTCCTGTATACTGTTCATTCTGGCTGTGGAAAAAGTAATACATATGTCACAAATCACAACCACTGGTTCAATATACAGTGTGGAAACCACTTATGGGATAAAATTGTTTGTGTCCTTATTTTAGAAAATAATAAAAAACGTTGAGATACCTTAACTTTTAAATTTAAATGTGCGCATTTTAAACATAAATTTGAATGTACAGGGTGATCCACGCTAGTCTGGCATAGTCCATAATCTGTATTTTAAATGAAACACCCTGTATATTTTTATGTTCAGCATGTTCACACTTGTAAACTGAGAAATTTGGCCACGAATCCTGCCTTTATGGCTTCAACACTGTTTTATACTCGTACTATTATCATGTTATAGGAAACATGTTTTAATCTAAGAAGAACTAAGTTTTAGAAAGAAAGGACAGAGAGTCATGCACAATATGTCGCCCTGTAAATAATTAGTTTGAATAAAAATGGGATCCTGATTAAATATCTTATATTTTCACAAAATACACCACGTCATTATTCTTCTCTTGATAAATATTGCTGAGACAATTTTTTTGTTTTAATTAAAAGTTATGGGATCAGTATTTAAAAATTCTGCGTGAGTTATTTATGTATATATTATAATCGATATAACTCGTTAGGATGTAAATGTATGTAAAATACAATAAAATTAGTCATAAGTTAAGGATGGATCTTCTTTATTTTGAACTAAAATATATATAAAGTGTTCAGAAAATCACGCAAGATGTAATGTTGAAAAACACAACTTTTCAATTTAAATTCGTTTTTAGAAATAACGAATTTAAAAGCAAAAATATAAGAATTTACAACTCTATAGCACCTAGATTCTACTCTCTACCAAAAATACTTAAGTCAATCCTAGCAATTGTTGCATCCATTGATTTTCCAAACAGTAAATTATCAAAGTTCTTAACAGAAATATTAACAACATACAACACAAAGAATGATTACTATATAAAAAATTTAAATGCCATGTTTTTATTATTATCCTTATCCCTCCAGATACTGACAAAGAATGTAGCGTAGAATCTTTAAGTAATTTTAAACTGTTTGTCTTCGTTTTAGTGTAGTGTTTTGTACAATTTTATGTCATTATTAATTCTACGCTTGCCGGATAGTTTACATTTTGACGAAATGCCCCTGAAGATGCTATTTTAAGCGAAAGTACTTGGGCTAGATTTAATTAACTTGTGCTCGATAATAGCCTTATTTTTCAAAGTTCATTTATTCGAGCATTCAACCTCATTTCAATTAGTGTTTTTATTTTACTCTGTTTGTCCAAGATGATGTTTCCGTCATAGTCAGTCATATTTCCTTTCTGCTTTTGTCTTAGTCCTCCTGTGAGTTTTTAACTTTGCTATGTACATCGTGACTATCGTACTTTGACTGCATAGTCTCAATTTCTTCGCATCTTTCCCTTGCTTTTTTTTTTCGCTTCTCTGATTTTCGTTCTTATTAATATATTCATGGTTTTATATTTGTCTGGGTCATTTTTGGCTTCTCTTCTCTCGTCCATTAGTTTCAGGATCTCATCTGTCATCCATGATTTTTTCTTCATTAATCTATCTGTCTTTAAGTGTTTATCCTTTACATTTTGCACTATTTCTATATTGTAATGTATTTATATGTATTTATATATAATGCTCCGGGATAAGTCTTGACATATGTAAAGTAAAAAGCTGTTTCAGAATCTTTTATTTACTAAAATATAGTCTATTTGATTCCTAATAATTCTTCCGGGTCTGTCTTGAGGGGATTTCCACGTGTACAGCTTGCGAGGTGGTAATTGGAAGAATGTGTTGGTGACAACTAGTTCTGAGTCTTCTGTGAATTTTTCTAGGAGGTCTCCTCTCTCGTTTCTGACTCCAAGTCCATGTGCTCCAATCTCTCTATGTCCGTGGCAAATCTCGAAGTGAGATATTTAGTTAATTACAGTAAAAAAGTGTAGTTGAATTTAAAATGTCCATGTACTCAACAAGGAGTTCGTTGCAGGATAAGATAAACAGTTTTGTTGAGAGGAAGGGTAGTTTTCTTTTGGGGTATCTGATGAATACATTCTCGAAGGATGAGCAGGTATTTTTGATTATGTTTAGTGAACAGCACCTATCGTACTGTCAATACGAAGTAAATATCTGGCAGTATGTTGGTTTTCGTCTTCTACATATCTAAAAATGGAAATTGTTGGTTCTTATCCCGTTCCGTGGTAAACTGTATTTTTGGGTGAATATTGTTGATGTTCTAAGAGCTTTAAGAAATCTTCATTGCTTTTAAAATAGTGTTTTACAATAAGAACACCTTTCTACTTATAATAACATTAAACTATTATCTGTACAGTTGTTTTATTCTTCACTGACAACAAGGAGCCAAATACATATCGTGCGTGATTTTGAACATATTAAAATAATATGTGGCTATATTGTATATATGTACTTATTGTGATGGGTATAAACCATTTTTTGAGATATTACAATTTTGTCTTGAAATATATTCAATAAATTCAGTAACACAACTTACCAAATTTCAGAGATTATATTTAAGTTAGTGTATAGTTATTTGTGTATATAAGCATGTATAGGTAGTAATGATAAACGATAATAATTCGTCTTTTTTCCATACCATTTACAGAATAAGTCTCTATTATGTACATTGTCGACTAATGAAAAACATCCAGCGAAATATATAACAACAATTGATAGTGTTAAGCCATTTATTAACATAGATAGATGTATTTTAGACCTAAACACTTTTATGAACATATTAGACCAAATTTAGCATGGATTTAATAAAATATTAATATTAAGGGAAAATAACATAGAAAATAATAGAGACAATGATAAACTCTTCAAATTCTTTTTCAGTTAATAAATTCTTGATAGTATCCTATAGTACAACCTAACTCTCATCATCATCATCATCACCCAGCCTTCATTTATCACGTCCACTGCTGGACATAGGCCTCCCTTAAACTCCTCCAATTTTTGTGATTTTGTGCTCTTTGTTGCCAATATTTGGTGATAGGCCTGATGTCGTCAGCCCAACCTGTGGTTGTTGTGAGGTTGTGGTGAGGTGGTCTTCCTCTACTGCGTTTGTCTACTCTTGGTCTCCAATTTGTAATTTTGCTCGTGCATCGTGAGTAATGTATTCTCGCTACATGACCTGTCCAGTTCCATTTCAGTACCCAATTGGTAAGTGTGTCTCCAGTTTTCCAAAGGCTGCCCACGCTAAAGTAATTCGTCTTTGGATTTCGCATGCTTGGTTATCCCTGTTGATTCTTATTTCATTACCCAAATACGTATACTTCTCCACCAGTTCTACCAGTTTGTCTTAAATAGGTAAATGGTTATTGGGGACCATATTTGTCATAAACTTAGTTTTGGCCAAGTTCATTCTGAGGCCCATCTTCGAACATACATAGTCCAATTCATTTAAGATATCTATGTAAGATATTGTTACTCCTCTGTGGCTTCAATTGACCATTTTAAAGGCATACTCTAAACCTAACTCTAGAAATTAATATCTTAATTGGATTTTTTGATTAAGGTTATTCAGACACCCTTTTACAGGAGAAGTTTTTCAGTACTAAAGAGATCAGTAGGTGTTTTTAAGATGTGAGTTTTTTACGCAAAAAAACACAGTAATTGATATAAAGCTCCTATATAAGAAAATAGTCAAGGAAAAAATGAGAATCTTTTTGCAAAAAACGATCATAAAAGATTCAATTTAGGTTGCAACGACAAATGTAATTGTACCTAATGTTCCTGGTTTTTAGGCCGTGGTGTGAAGTTGTTTCTTCATGACATTTTGTAACTATGGGAGACATTGTCGAAGGTGATGCAGATTTAGTTCCAATATTAGTGTCGTAAATTGTTTAAATTGCGCACCATCTTTTTCTTGGTCTGCCAATACTTCTTCGTCCATTTGGTGACTTTTCTCGTACTATTCTCATAGATTTATGCCCCCTGGAGTTTTCAAATATATATTACTGTAGTACTGAAGTATATTTATACTGGAGATTATGGTCGAAAAATATATTATTGATTCTCAGTTTGTTAAAAGCACAGAGGTTAGCCATGAGTTCTCCATTTGCGTTGACATGGTTTTCATCAAATCTTTGTTTTACTCCTGGACATTTGAGGTTCCATAAATCTTTTTTTGTTCTTCTTTTGAACTGTAATTTGCACTGCTAGCTTTAGTCTTTTGAATTTTACCATATTTCCTCGATGAAATTGGCAACACAAACACCTTATATAACCGGAAGACTGGAATTTAAGTTAAATAATCTTGGGGAAGATACGCAGATCTGTCTTGTACCTTTCCTGATTTTACACCAATTACTAGATATTTTTAATCTTAAAATTACTTCGTTGTTTTCATACTACAAACTTTGGATCAGTTTAATCATGTGCTTTGAGATATCCATAGTTAAATTTATTAGCACAATATGTTGGCCATTCAGTATACGGTGACCTTTCTTAATCTCAACTGTTTTTTATCCCAAAAAATCCAGTTTATCATTGTCTCTATAGAACTGCCAGTAATCGTATTGTTCTAATAAAATATTTTTTATTTGTTACTAGTGAAGAAAAACCTGTTTCCCCACAACAAGCGTCAGTGTCTGCTGTTGCTGCGCCGGCAAGGAACATTTACAATGGAAGTCAATACAGCGACAACCGCTATGAACCGTATTATTCGCTTTATGAAGATGACGTTGAAATATACAGAGATGGTAAATATCTTCTTTTTTAAGCACACTGAATCATTTTCCAATCTAATAGTAGGGTAAACTGTGCAAATACCGGTCAGTGGGTAATGGCGGTCATCCCGATTGTGCGAAATCTATTCAATCTGGCAACCTCCTATAACTGCCAACGTGTCGCTACACTACTCTGTATTCAGATTGCTGACGAGCGTTGAGTTGGCGCAAACCATTGTCATAGAAATATTATTAACCTGTTTTCAGTGTTTTCGATCTTATTTTTATGCTGAGTAATATAAGGTCTTAATTCATTTTTATTCACTTGTAGATCTTAAAATTGGTTACAATTGATTATAATGACGTTAGCTGCCTATTCCTTTTTTAAAGATCAATATTTTAATACATGTTTACGAGTAAAAAATTCTAAGAAAAAAAATGCCAACAGGAGGCAATGCCGGTCAGTTGACCGGTATTACCCCCATGCTATAATTTATACCCTATACTATTAATCCTTAGGGATTAATCCATCCATTTTTCGACATTGCAAGAAAGAATAAAAAATAAAAATCTTCAAGGTGTCTCATTAGGTAGAAAATCAGTATTTTCTGCCGAACAAGAAGCTAAAATAGCCACACAAAAAAAATATTTAGCTTAATTTTTTATGGCGTAACAGCAATAGAACTGAGAAAATTAGCATTTGGGTTTACAAGATAATTTTTCTTGTAATAAAACACCTTTTTCTTGTAATTGGCATTACAAGAAAAAGGTGTTTGATTCTAGTTCTTTGGAATCGGATATTGATATATCATGTGATAACAGTGACGATGCATACGAAGATAGATGCCTGGTTTACAGCGAGTTTGGCAAAAACAATGAATTGTGGTATATATTTACCGTTTGCTCACGATGGGCTTATTCAGAGTGCAGTGGATGGGATTCTGCAGAGAGTTATACCTGCGATGACTGTCAACTATTTTTACATTAAAACACATATTTTTGTTATTTTTTGTTTGTTTTGTAATAAAAAATATTTTTTCACCTTTCTTACTGATTTACTTGAATTATGACCCATTAAGCCACATTCGTTAATCGTTTTATAACAAAAAAATGTTAAATAGATATTGATTTTTATTTTAATAATAACACAAACAAATTGACTGGCATTACCCACACTCATGACCGGTATTGTCCATGTATGGTGACAATACCGGTCAAAGATACTTTTTTATGTTTTGTCTCTGTCAAAGACAAAAATTTTATATTTTTGAAATTAAATGTATCTTGCAATAAGTTAAAACCCCAAATTACGGATTGACGGCTTAAATTTGATTCACAGAGTTTTACTTTTTTTATATTAAATTTTCTTCTTAGGTGACCGCGATTTGCACACTTTACCCTACTTAGTAAAAAGGTGTGTAAGTTGAAAAATTATCACTATTTAGGAAATACTCCATATGGCTGTGTTCAGAATAATATAATTTAAGAAGAATTAAAGATACAAATAAACAAAGGATATCAGTCCAGGCGGATCTGTTTTGCATTGGACATTTTCCGCAGGAGTCTATTTTTAGGAGAATAATTGGGAAATAAGTGCTAAAAATGAAGTTTTACCTTTAATCCTGCATCACTCGTAATATGAGCATTTCTATCACGCTTCCGTAAAATATGCACATTCTACAAACGGTAAATCATTTGCACTGTTTCCCCCACTTGTACCTGACTTTAAGAGTGTCTTCATGGATATGCTTAAGCATGTCCAATTTTTAGTGTAAACTGGTAATAGATATCATATACTTGTTAGTGGTCTGCAGACCTGTGTGAGAGTTTCTCTCATCGCGCGAATACGTTAGCATATTTCTTGTCCTCCTCCTCCTAAGTGCCTTCTCTATTGAGGTTGGCGATCAATATGGCAAATTTCTCTCTGTTCTGGGCTTGATGGATTAAGTCATTTCCTGTTGTGTGAGTCAAATTCCTTATGGCGCATTATGTGTCCTAGATATGACGTCTTTCTAATTTTGATTGTATTAACCAGATGAGGTCGTGTGTTCATTATTTCGTTCACATTTCGAATGAGTTCAGTTTGTTGACGTCATACTGTTTTAATGTCCAGGTCTCACAGCCATATAGTAGTAGAGACCACACATAACACTTTAGTGTTCTTAACCTTATTGTAATTGATAGCTTGGGGTTACAGAGCATTTTACGCATGTTCATGAAGCCAGATCTTGCTATTTCAATACGTCTTCTAATTTCTTTTGAGTGGTCTAGCTGACTGTTTAGCTCTCCGCCCAGGTATATGAAGCTTTGGGAGCTCTGAAGGGTGATACCATTGATTTGTATGTTGGGTGTAATTTGTTCATGGGGGTTCTTGTGGAATACCATGATTTTGGTTTTGGAAAGATTAATATCCAAACCTAGTCTGTGACTTTCTTCTGATAGTATGTTCATCAATATTTTTAGTTGGTCTTCTGTTTCTGCTAATACTACGGTGTCATCGGCATATCTCACATTGTTAATGATGATTCCATTGACTCTGGCACCTTCAGGGCGATCTTCAAGAGAAGCTCTGATGATATTTTCGGCATAGACATTAAATAGAAGAGGGGACAGAATGCACCCTTGACGCACTCCTCGTTCTATGTTTACATAATTGGTATTTCAGTTGTCTGTTCGAACACATCCTGTGTGGTTCCAGTAGGTATATTTCTTGTATGGTCAAAGAAAATTCTGGTAGTCCGTACTCATGACAGCGTTCATTCTTAATGAATGAACGCTGTCATGAGTACGGACTGAAGATAAATTTAAAGAAAACTAAATGCATGATCATGACTAAATCTGCACATGCAAATATCCAATTGACTATTGAAGATACTGCAATTGAGAGTGTTAATAACTATAAATACTTAGGAACATGGATAACATCAGATGCAGACCAAACCAAAGAAATTAAGACACGTATTGAAATAGCACGTACATCATTTATTAAACTTAAAAAGTTTCTTTGTTGTCGGGATATAAGGTTAGAACTACGCCTGAGAATGCTTCGATGTTACGTGTTCTCTACTCTTCTTTATGGTCTGGAAGCTTGGACACTAAAACAAGTTCATCCGAATAAGTTGGCCGCCTTTGAATTTTGGTGTTACAGAAGAATCCTACGAATATCATGGACTCAAAGAATGTCAAACATGGAAGTAACTAGAAGGATAGGAAATGAGGCGGAAATAATATTAACTATTAAAAGAAGAAAACTTGAGTACTTGGGACATGTGATGAGAGGCCAAAAATACGCATTATTACAACTTATTATGCAGGGCAAAATCCGAGGAAAGCGAAATGTGGGAAGACGAAGAATATCCTGGCTTAAGAACTTGAGGGAATGGTTTGAATGCAGTAGTGCAGAACTTTTTAGAGCGGCAGTCAACAGAGTCCGCATAGCCATGATGATTTCCAACCTTCGATAGAAGATGGAACTTAAAGAAGAAGAAGTTCGAACACATCCTGTGTGGTTCCAGTAGGTATATTTCTTGTAGGGTCAAAGAAAATTCTGGTAAAAGTAAGTTTTTTGATATACAGGATGATTTCATTATTGTTATACTATAATTTGAGATAGTACACAACGTAGGGGACGAATGCTTGTAGACTTAGAAAATTCAATATAAAGATATTCAAAGGGATACCCATAATCAATAATTTCTATTACTATATGTTTTCGTATAATCGTGATTTTTGTGACAAGTTATACATTTTCAAATACTCTTAAAATTTCAGAATATCCTGCAAATGAAAACACTTATAACAATGAAAATTCAGCATCCACAGCTTATAGAGGAACAGCACCAGTATCAACTGTAACTCCATCTTCCATACGCAATGAAATACCAAGACGAGGAAATACTGTATACATAGAAAACAATATCAATCCCCAAGATATCTACCAACAATCTACTGTTTCGGACTATAGTGACAACAATAACAAATATGAGACACAGGTAAGCCATCCATTCTTCGTTCTTCTTTTATTTTAACAGATAAAGATGCCGTTCTTTACATATTAGCTAGGCTTATGGCAGTTTTTATGCCAATTTACTCCATCTTTAAATGAACATTGTAGATCCTATGTCTTTGTCCTGATAATTTTTAGACGTTTTTCTTTAAAAACCTGTCCCAACTTTTCTAGCTCTTTGCTCTAGATCATTTTCAGTGTTTCCACAACACCATTGAATGTTGCTCTATCAGTATCTCACACACTTCCTAATACCCACTAGTTTTTAATTCTTCATGCATATCTCCCTGATATGTTGTTTTTGTAAACAAGTATTAATCTACTGCTTTACCATTCTTCAGCAAGAGAGAGGTGAAGAATGGAGGAATAACATATGCATCAGTGTTATGGTGTAATGTTGCCATTTCTTGGCTGCAGACTTTGTAGCAAAGAACCCATATCTTGCATGACTCCAAATTAAGAGTAGATTGAAGACGTCAAACACTTTTGGAAAGTACCAAGTGACTCAAAAACATATGGTACTTAACTGCTGGACCTGTAAAAGCTAGTGCAGCGTTGCAGAATTCTGAAATGAGAAATCATAAATAAATAGAAGATGCATAATAATTATGAGATGATCCAGCATCCGAAAAAAAATTATAAACTTTAATCATTAATTTATCATAGACTACTTTTAGCTTTTTTTCATTTAGTTGTTCTTGGTATGATGTCTGTTTGATATTGTTTGTATTTCCGTCTCTATTCCGTCATTTCCGTTTGCATTTTTGTCAAATGACTGAATTTTGTGCTCCTAAGATCTTTTGAGGCAGATTTTACTCCCTTTAAAGTATTTTAAATGTTCCTATATTTTCTAACTAGATATTGTGTAGTTCTTTCCAAGAAAACGTATTGTCTTTTTAAAGCATTCATATAATTCTTTTGTAGATTTTTTGTTCTTTATTTTATGTTGTAATACAATTTATAAAAGCATGTTTTGTTTTTTATAGGATGACCAAAACTCCTATAAACAAAATAATCGTCAACAGTCTTACAGGTAAGTCATTATTAATATTAGTTTTGATTATAATTCATGTAAATAACAACCTTAGGGGAGACAGGAATGAATTGAATGATGTGGAAGAAGTTGCCACTAAAAGAACAACAACTAAAAGAACCACAACCACCACTAGAAAACCCTCTACTACAACTAGAGTTACATCTACCACGACGACAATTCCTCCTCCAAAGAGTTCACAACCCCCACAGAGGTACTACAAAACCAAAAGCACTAGCATGCCTCATATTTCATATAAAGTAAACTTTGTAGCTTTGGTCATTTTTGTAGTATCTTTCACTTCATCCTTTATTTTGACCCATCCATTCTTTGATATATTAACACAGCTTCACCATGAATATTTTTGATTAATAAGAAGAGATTTTTGCTTTACTTAGAATTTTGCTTCGCTGCAGCTTGCTTGTGTACCTTCTAAGACATCTTTTGTTAGACATCTTGAACGTAGATGACTTGACTGATATTTAAAACAATTATTTTATAAGTAAAACAATGAAAACTACCATCTTCAAAATTTTCACTTTAATATTTGCTCTCAAACTAACAAATAATATTCAAAAGAAGTGAGACAAGGCTGTGTAATGTCACCAACATTATTTATAGTCGTCATAGATTGCATAATGAAACGTACAGAAGACAAGAATGCAGGTATATAGTGAAATTTATTCGGCAAGCTAGAGAATTTAGAGTTTGTTGATGCCAAGAGGTCATATATGTAGAACAAAACTTCTAGAGTGAATGGCCTAGCAAAAACAACCGAACATATAAATTTAAACAATAGATATATACAGTAGAAAAGAAAACACGAGATATGCAAGTAGTTCTTGCTTTTTAAAATTGTTCTGCACTTGATAAAAGTAAGTCGACACCAAAAGTGCTATTTTCAGTAAATATTTGTTTGTGAAAATTTTGGAAATCTCTAGTTTTATGAGTTTTACTTAGATTGGTTAAATTTACATATTAATTCATAGTTTTTTTTGTGTATGTTAGTCTGACTAATATTGTAGGAGATGCAATGCCTTATTTGCCTAATAAACCTGTACTTCTAACCTAAAAAAAGTATTAGTAACTACAATTTATTTTAACCCTTATGTGGTGCCATCAAGTAATGCTACGTACTTGGCAAGGGGTGGTACTTGGAGATCACTTGCGTATGATAGTTCATAGAGCATCAAGAAAGATCTAAACTGTGACCACAGAATAAGAAATAATTAGAAGGTAAAGTCACAAATCTCGCCTTTGATATTTTTGACATGTTGTCACTTGTCCGTTAGCCATGTTGAAAATATCATCTCCTCGCGACACAGTATTTTCCTAAGTAAAGGATTCTTATTAATGAAGGTCAAAAGGAAAGGGAAAGGAGAAGTTTAAAAGGGCTTGGTCCTAAAGCTATTACTCCACCAGCACCAATCGCATGACATAAAGATTGACATACTTTTTTTGTATTATTCTATGAAAGAAAGATATGTACGTATTAACGTGAAAATACTTATAGGTAATGGATTTTAACAAGAACTATGACCTTTAAAATAACAGGTAAACTTGTGTACTGAATCGGCATGACTCATAGCTCTTGTCAAAATCCATAACTTCTAATTTATTTGATCTTTTGGAAAACGAAAAAACGTTAAGCCACATTTTTTATGTTTTGCAGCTTTTTGAGGTCGTTCATAAGTGATATGGAACCTAGTTTTGCTCAAATAACAATTTGAGATTTTCCTCAATGGAAAATTTTCCATGGCAATCTATTATTATTATTTATTCAACAATTTTTAAACAAACTTTTTTTTATAATTATATTATTTTTTTATAATTATATGACATAGTCATGATGATTCCTTCGATAGAAGATAAATAAGAATGATGTTCCATATTTGACACCAACTATTTTTTTGTCAATAAAAATTTCCTCGTAGCTAGATTTTTTTCTAAATAGAATTACAATTCTTATCTGAGAATTTATTAGGCTAAGGGTTAGGTAAAGGGTTAGGCCAATTAAATAACTAATTGTCCAAAAAATCGACTACAGGAAACATATAGGTTTTTGTTACAGAGGTCCATACTACTACATACTACAACAGGCTACTTTTTTTGCTTATTTTCCTGGCCTCAAAAAGTTTACCTTCTGGTTGTTTCTTATTATGTGCTGTAGCAAATGCCGAAGCATGGAAAATCATGGTATTTTTTCGCGAAGGTACTGGTTGCTGGTATCGTATTATCGAAGAAGGTCGAAGATCACGAGGAAGGTCCCCAACAAGATGATCGACCAAATTATAGACCAATGCTAGTTAAAAGAAATCTTTGGGCATTTCAATGACCATTACACTCCCACCAGGGTCAGTGAGTCGCTGGTTAATAGTTTTTACTTGATAACTGCTGTACTAATAACAGTATAAAACATAGTTAGATATTTAGATTTCACGTTCTAGTATTTTGTTGAACACGCCACTGTGGTCGGTGTACCAAGTACAGAACTGATCGCGCCATGCTGGCGTGTTAAACAAAATGTCAATTTTTGTCACTATGTTACCACCTTCAGCCACATAAGGGTTAACTTTGTATTATTTACACACCACAGGACACTTTTAGCATTATTGTAATTGTTAATGCCATTCAGTTGTCCTTAATAAACCGTACTTCCTTACTAAGATAAAAAAAACTCTGTTTTTTGTTTGTTGGTATTTTTTTAAGATCACAAAATTAAATTTTATATTAGTCAAACAACGGCATGTAATTCTGGTCTGGTCATCTGGTTCCTTTTCATACACAATGATTCTCCATAACTCTGATTATTTAGAGCACTTAAATTCTTCAGTCTCATATTTAGCAAGTCAATGATAAATTAGAGCAACTTAGTAAAATGACAAATTTGAGCCACTTGGTAAAATGATCAATTTTATAGCTAAGATAGAAGTATTTGTTAATATTTTATCTTGTCACTTTTTGTACACATGTTCCATTATTATATGATTTATTTTCTTCTTTGGTCTGTATTTTTACATATCGTTACTAGTTTTACAAGCTTCTCTATATGCTTAAATCGTCCTACAGTAGACACCAGTTATAAAGATCCAGCGCGATTCAATCAATTTATTTTTGTCCCCGGAATGCGTGATTTAATTTATGACATACTTTTTTTAAACACCCTGTATACTATACAGGGTGTCCAGAAACTCTCCAGACAAACTAAGACCGGAAATTCCTCAGATAATTTTAAACCCTAGTACGAAAGTACTTCCTAAGAGAGCTAGAGCTCTGAAGATGACGCCTTCTAATCAGTTTTTTTATATACCTCCAGAACACTTCTATTTAGAAAAACGAAAACTGGTATGATCATTCATCCTCCAGAGCTGAATCAATTCCATCAATTGCAAATTTCTAGTACCGGTCATAGGCGTCCGTTTTGGGTAGATCAACGGTTATTTTAACGTATAACTTTTTTGTCTTTAACTCTTAAGGATTCTTAATACTAGATTATTAAATTTTGAAGTATTCTAGTACTAAAAGGTACTCTTAGGATACATTGTTTTCTATAAAAATATATTTGAAAATTTTTAGTTTTTTCGTCAAGAAAATTAAATTAATATTTAAAAAAACTAATTACAAGGCGCCATCTTCAAAGAGTTCTAGCTCCCTTAGGAAGAATTATCGGACTGGGTTAAATTCTCTGAGGAATCTCCTGTCTTCTATTGTCGGGGGTTTCTGGATTCCCTTTATACTATAATAATTCAAAATTTGCTTAATTGCTAAATAATTATCTACTTAATCAATTATTTTGAGAAACCACATAGTTGGTTCTTTTTGTCAATGCTATCTTAACCCGTGAAGTGTGTCTTGGGATGTCACAAAAAGCCAATTGAGCCGTTAATTTTTGAAACTCTGGAAGATAATCCAGATGAATTTGGCAACTTGGAAATAACGTTTTAATAAGTTGGTGCTCCTGCACACTATTATGGTGCATCAGGATCGTTAGAGTGAGCAGCTCGGTCACCGAACCTTACACCATTAGATTTTTTGTGAAGATACTTGAAATCTAAATCTAATCTAAATTGACATTTTGAAACAACGAATGAATGGTTGAATAATGTAGGGTAATTTCCCCCGATACATTTGAACGGGTACCTGTCCTCCCTGTCATTTGCAATTAGGTACTTTAAATCTGATTCTTTCAACCTTTCAAAAGCCTACTGCAACTGTTTTTTATTCCTGACAAAAAGTGACAACAAATAAAATAGAAATAACTCTGTAAATAATATATTCAAAAGCTCATTTATACACCCTTTTTGAAGAAATAGTTCATTTTATAGGATGGCTCAAAAAGTTCTCATCCATTGAGTTAGTATTCTAAACCAATTCACGATATTGTTAGTAGAGAGCACTTTTTATAAAACAGTAATTATGACATCTTATATCGACTAAAATAACGAAAACAGTTTTACAGCATTATCGTTTCTTTTAGCGCAAGGCCTGAAACATCCATCCAGAATCATTCACTTGCAGAAACAGCTAAGAACACAGACCACTTTTTTGACACATACGATCCCTATCCTCCCTCTTATCTTAATGTTCCCGATATCAACCGTAAAGAAAATATAACGTTTGTAGTTTTAGATAGTTATGATGATCTATATCCGCAGTATTTTACAGTGAATAAAATTCCAACTAAGCCTAAACAAACAGATATCGAGCCTTCTTCTACCATAGTTTCGGTGACAACTTCAACACCTAGAAATAGACCTAATTTTCATTACATTACAAAACCGAGTATAATTACAACTACTTCACAAAATAATCCCTACCCCACAACTGGATCAAGTACTACTACAACTACCACGACTACTAGTACAACGCCATCAACTACCACTGTAATTATTTCTACTCCTGAAACAGAATTAGAACAACTTACTAGGAGTAGCTCAGTGAATAAACGTCCTTCAGCTGCACAAATCATAACTCCCACAACCTATCTTCCTTTCAGATTTGTTCTTAAAGCACCTATTTCAAAAGCTGTGGTTGTTGACACTACTCCTATTTCGAATAATTGGAAATCGAACTCAACAGCTTCTATCCACCAAAATGTCAACAACAGCTCTAAAGCTTTTAAGACCTTGAAAGCTGTAAGAAAAGTATTGAATCCAGTAAGTCTAAACCACGAATTATCCGCATCTGCAGAAGAAGCTAAGAATCTAGCTAAAA